TCAGCCGCACGGTCTTAATTTGAGCTATGGTGTCAGTTGTCCGAATATTTCAATTAAATGTGACATAGTTGAGTATTTGTAAGAATATTTGTTAAATATAATTTATGTGGATATAGAAAAATATTTTAGTCGTTATAACGTTACCAAAGAGAAAATAAAATTACATAATATTAAGTATGGCCGGATTAGGAGAATAAAAACCATTGTAATCGTATGAAAAGAAAGGCGCTGGCAAATTATTCTCCGCATATTTGCTGCACTCAAAGATTACATATAACACTATCATTCATCGTCGAAAGAATCCAAAGGATTGGTTTCTAGTCTGTTAAATAATAACGTGGACATTGTTTGAGACATATTTATTAATGAACTAACGATCCGTCTCGGTTTCCCGTTATTTCTGGATCTCGTCAACAGCGCCGCTTACCGCGGCAAGTTGTGAAACTAAACCACTAAAACACACACAAAAAGATTCATCTGAATCGGTCGAGCCAGTTTTGAGTTCTAGAGAGACTAACGGACAGCAATTTTATGTATATAGATGTTGGCTGCTACAAAAAATATATAAGTACAACTTTGTATATGTTTAGGAGTGACCGTTTTTATGTTAAGGAAGAAAAGAAAGCTCCACTTCTATTTTTTAATAGCATAGAAAAACACTCCTTAGAAAAAACATAATTTAGACGATTCAGATGTTTTATCTTCCATTTCTTTGCAGTACGTTTACCTTAACATCTTAAAGCGTACATAATTTATAGTGGTGGTGGATAATTACGTGCACAGAAAAAAACAAAGCCTGAAATACATGCTTTATGGATTAATTAAGGCATATGCATTAAATCCTCAGATTAAAGCTAATGAAGTCTTCAATCGAGAACTCAAATCATCAAATCAAAACTAAGTTATCGAAAAGTTAAAAATATTACTATAAGTCAATTAATGTTGGTATGAATATAAATATTTGTTATCTATATAAATAAAATGATAGAGGTTTGCAGTTCTGCGTGCATCACGGAAAAACTACTGGATAGATTTTTAATAGTTTTATTTCTTAGACAATTGGCCCTTATATAAAAAAAAATATTGCAATACCTTCATTTAATATAATGTTATTAAAGTTTTAAGAACAAACGATTTTATAAGCAATACGTGTTCAGTTATGCGTGTTTTTTTGATATATCAAGCAACGCAGACGAAGTCGCTGGTATCAGCTAGTCATAAATAATGGCCATACTATTTGTTACTATAAAAAGTCTGGGCAAATAGTTTTGATTTTTCTGGTCGGTCTCTACATTAATTATTTTTCTATGTATTACTACCATTTTTCAGAAACTTACCAAACTATTAAAATATTTCTTAATGGTAACATTAAAGAAAAAATGTAAACACTATTGATGTTCTTCGTTAACAATACCTAGTCAAATATATTTCATAGTTATGTACACAAAATAATAAACGTAGGTATTGGTGAGAATTAAATCTAATTTTAAACTTTCTTAGGCATAGTTGCACATATTAACAAGTTCGATCACGGGTCTATGTAATATAACAAACGGGGAAATACTCATTACTACAGTATTACATGTACAACTAATTGTTCAGATAAACCCCCTTATGAAACAATTGAGGGGAGGCCTATGTTCAGCAGTCGACTTATGGTAGGCTGTAATAATTGTATGAATGGATGAATGAATTTTTTCAAAAGTATTACATCGAAAACTTTTACTATGTAAATAATAAGATTATGTATTAAGGTCTAAGGTGACTAACTGAATATAAAATTATGTATAGATGGAAATTTCACTTAGGTACGAGTATTTTAATATTTTTGAATTTACTTAGTATTTCCTTATCTGAGAGAAGGTTTTCATAACGTTTTTTTTTTAATAACCTATATTTATAATAAATAAAAAATCTTTCAATAAAGCAAGTATAGCTTTTTTATCACTCGTCTAATTAATCATGTATATAATGAAATTGCACAAAACTTTACATTTTGGTGTCTTGGGTAAAGTTATGCTAGTTTTCTTAGAAAAACGATGCTGCTGCTGTCAAATAATGACTAGTCACCGCAATATGGCGGACGTAATAAGCTATAATATAATTTAACAATTAACAATGAAAATGTAAACGTAGTATTACCATTGTGTTATATGTACTACGTACTAGAGAAGCCATTTCGAACATTGACTATGTTCAACTAAACTGTAGTGCAATCCATACAAACTAAATATTGCGTAAATTGAAGATTTGTGAATTCCATAAAATAGTTATTACTACATTTTATATAGAAATATGTTTGTTTAGATTAAATTAAGATATTTATAATTTATTTTATATTAATATCCTACCGCGCATGCGCGAAGACATAGAGTAGAACACAATTTTTGATTGGAATGGCTTCTCTAGTACGTACTACGTAGTACATATAACTCAATGGTATTTACGTGGTAGAGCCATGCTGCAGTTATGTTATGGTTGTAGCACTAATGGAACCGAGGATGGGCCACACTCTCACAGAATGTCAACGTAAAATAGCAGTTTCATGCGGCTGTGTTTCGTATGGTGAGTGTAGAGAACCTATGTACTGTAAACGTGGTCCTTAGGGGTAACAACGCACCTGCATTTTGATTTTTAATCAAAGATAGCTGTAGATGTTTATGGGCCACAGGATTTACTACCATCAGGTGAACTGAAGTGCTCGTTTGTCACTCTTATTCTATAAAAAAGTACAATTAAAACGCGTGTCGTAAAAGGTAACAGAGGGAAACCAAAACAGGACAGTTAGCGTGATTGTTCCTGATAACATCCCAAAATAACAACAAATTGCAGTTTGACAACTCACCTGTTGAGCGGGGGCAACTAGGGAAAATATCGCCCATGAGCCAATCAATGGCAGAAGGTTATGTCCAGCAGTGGACCATAATGATGATGATGAAAGTTAACAATGTTTGACGCTATTACGGCTAATATTTCATAGCACCGATTTTCTAAGAATCCTAGCTTAACAAGTTTTTTTAATTACCTCTTTTACTATCTTTTTGTGATATCTACTCTAGACAAAAATGTAGTCAATAATATAAGTGTTCACTCGTCTTTAAGTTTAACATAGTCATACGTTTTAATATTTTGTTGTGATAGTGCACGTAGGTATAAAAATATTACTTTAAACTATTTATATATACAAAATAATACGATATAATAATATGAATTTATTAATCAAACGCGTTGGCAGAAAAATGTGTACATATAAAATATTCTTTAGAACCAAATAAATAAGTAGGTACTATCTCTTAACTGCAAACATTGCTACATAGACGCACTAAAGTCATAAATACATAAGTTTAGGAAATATTGACATGGTATTATGTTATATTTAATTTACAGAGAAAACACCCTAATTATTGTAATAAATATAAGTAGCCTCGCGGAAAATTGAGGTTGTGTAATACTATGAGTACTATATTATTTAGGAATAATTACTAATTTCACTTTTTTTCATTACTGATAATTTATTGCTTAGTTTTAAAAGTGAAACCTAATCATTTTGCACGTAATGAAGACTTATTAAGTATGTTAAGGATAAAGTCAATAAACTTATTACAATTGGATCTTTTTTTTTAATGATAATGCCTTCGGACCGAATTTTTGTCACGGTAACTTCTTCGTCTTAACAAAAACTAACCTTCTCATGTACACTCTTATAGCCCGATAGCAATCTTATTATACTCTTTATGGCAATCCGACACGACCGAAGAGAGAAGAGGATAGGCGCATAACCTAAGCCGTGCGTTTGCGTATTTGCCGAGGTACGAAGGTGAAACACCCCTAACTCCTAACATCCAGTCTTCGGGCTCCTATTGAAAATTTCTTGACAGAAAAACTCTTAGAGTCATATAAAGTAAAAGTCCATTTTTATTTAAAACGTTATCTACATAATGTTAGCTAACTTAAAAGCTTGTTATACTCGTGTACCAATTCAACATAATAGTTCACGAAAGTATATGAATAGCTTCTGGATAGCCCTCTCTACCATCCGAGAAATACAGGCTTATTTGATGGCGGATGAGATGTACAGTCGAGACGTAGAACTGGCTATATGGCATTGATTGGCAAATGGCGGCAACACACATACATCACAAAACTGACTATCCTACGAAGTTTATATGTAATATATGATCAGCACTCGAGTCTGCTGAGTCTATCTGAACCACATGTAAATTTTATAAAATGTCTCTGAACTGAGTCGAGCTGACGAGTGTTGATACCAAAGAGTAAAGGAACTCTGCACTTTCTTCTCTTCTACAGTTAAACTTAGTGATTATATACTCTTTGTCTACAGTCTACAGCTGTTCACAAAGAGAATATAATCACCACGTTTAGTTCTGTTCAGTTCAGTAGTATGATAGTTTTAAGGTACTCTGTGATGATAGTATAGAGTTTTTGGCGGGAACTTGACCGGCGGCGGTTTGCTGCTCCTGTATTATTGTTTAAATAATGATTTGAAATAGATTTTGATATGTAAAAGTGGTGCGATTTTGTGTATTAAGTGTCTGTTCATGTGAACTATTAGTGGAGATGGTGAAATAAGTGCTCTGATGGTGATGTGATTCTTAAGATAAGGTGTCAGTTTGTTTAGGCGCCTTGAGATACCATCGCCAACTATCAGCTCTCTACTGGCTCAAGTTGCAGTTAAAATCTCTTAAAGGCTGCACAATGTGACGCATCAATATATTGTGGAGCTGTATACTATGAAGGATAATTATACATTGTAACTTCAGGCTCAGAAGGGCTAGAACCCAGAGCCATAAAGCCAGTTATAAAAAAATGGTTCAGTATAGCTCGCTACATATCTATTTATCTATGGTTTAGTATTTTTCTATCTGTCTTGTAGTTTGGTTGTGTTTTATGATTTTATTTTTATTTTATTTAAGTTTTGAGTGAGCGTTGTGTTTTTTGTGTTCATTAAATGTAATTTAAGTGCAGTAAGAACCTAAAAGATGCCGGTGTTTCATACGAAAATTATCGAGAGCATTTTGGAGCCGGTAGCTCAACAGGTGAGTTTGCGAAATTACATTATTTATGAAGCCCGTATTGTATTACGGTAGGTATATTAGGGGTCATATTTTCGTATGTTTACAGTTTGTTTGCTATATCACTTATCGGCGAATTATGTCATCGATGAGGTCGTACATGATACACGTAGTGAAAAAAATATACGAGCAACATATATGGTTATGATTGGTTTGGTTTCGTAAGTCAGTAGATTAGGTATCTGTCGTCAAAATTTTTAGTAGTGTATCACACAGGTCTTAAGTGTTCTTAATTAAATCTGATTTCTCTCTCCTTCATTCAATTAATAAAGCTTTAAGTACTACAAATGATTTATCTCGTTACTTTTCCTCTTATTAGACACGAAAGTATTTCAGTTGCCTGACTCATTAACTTTTCGATTAGTGTGTGGTTCATAGTTCATACTACAAGTAGATATTACGCACACTTCTTGTGAATTCAATTAATGTTGAAACTTATTTTAAGTGATTAACTGTCCTATTTTTTAAAATCACTCTGTCCTCTATCTATACATACAAATAAATAAAATCAGTGTCTGATGTATGTTTGTAATGTCAAAATAACATCTTTTTACTAAATGCATATAAAAGTTTATAAAATGAAAAAAAAAAATGTTTTCGTTATAAGTACTTATAACAAAAACACTTTTTTTAAGATATTTATCTGTCTGTTTATTTCGGCTAATCTCAGAAACGGCTGGACCGATTTCGACGGGATTTTCACTGGCAGATAGCTGATGTTATAAGGAGTAACTTAGGTTATTTATATTTTAGAAAAAGAAGTAGGGTTCCACGCAACACATTTAAAACCCTAATTTCCGGGCAAGCAAAGTCGCAGGGAACAGCTAGTATTTTATAATTCCTTAGTTTACAATTTTTCAGTGCAGGCACTGACAGTCATGGTTAAAATTTCCAATATGGACCATCAATTTAAATGCCCATATTTTTTGTGTAGATAGTACTCACAAAAAGAAAGCGTTTTGCAAAGTTTCAATATGCGGAAACGCATACTTTTTGAGAAAAAAATTATTGAAAATCAATTATTTTTGCAAATTTATGTCAATTCCTACAGTAAAACTGATGCTATTTTGTATTGTCATTGTCATCGTCGGTAGGGATGTCGATTCTTTCCGAAAAAGATCGATTTTTAAATCGATTTGAATCATAAGCTGATGTATCATTTACAAAATTGATTTTTTTGTGAATCGATACATCAGCTTACGATTCTAATCGATTGGAAAGTTTATCCAAAGCCATTTTTTGTGAGTTTGTTGCTGTAGCGTTAGGAAAAATCTAATTATTCAAAATTAAAAAGAAAAAGGTACATTTTTCTTCAATTAATTTACTTAGGTCTGAAATTTTAATCATGGATTAAAAGTTATGCATCACATAAATTATAACCTGACTGAATATAAAAGTTAAACAATTCAACTATTTTATTCATACACCCAAGTTTTCTTTTATTGAATAGGGGTGACAAATGAACACAGTCCACATGATGGTGAGTGGATCCTGTGGCTCATCTGTGTCTATCCGCAATTTAATTGATTCTTAATAAGGATCAGAATGCAGATTGGTTGGTAACTCAGAAGACTTAGATGGAATGCCTTGTTTCCAGTAAAAACGGTATCCAGTTCTCTACACTCATGAATCACAACAGCATTAAGTAGCTATTTTCAGTGATATTCTGTGAGTGTGTGGCCCTTCCTCGGTCAAGTTGACCCATTTGTGCTACAACCATAATATAACTGCAGCGTGGCTCTACCACATACAATATATAAATACAAAGTATGGTGGCTCCATGGCACAGTGGCTTAGCAATGAGTTGCTGCGCTGGGGGCAGCGGGTTTGAATCCCGCACGGAACAAGTATTTGCATGGCCTACAAATAATTTTTCCGGGTCTGGATGTTTGTCTTTGTGCAATTTGTGTTTGTAAACTGCCTCCATGATACAGGAGAAATTCCTAGTGTGGGGGCAACTTTTTAAAAAAAAATGTATTTTGTATTGTCTTTCTAATAATTTGGGGTAAAGGCAGTACAACAAACCCAAATTATTTGAGAAATTATTTGACTTCTCCCTATTCTATATCCATTCACTTTCATATCATTTTATACTTATCAAATATATTAATAATCTTAGTGATTACTTGCCCATATTTATAGTGATTATTCTATTACTTTACCATGTAGTTACTTATGTAGAATTTGCCTTCATTATTATTTTTTTGTAATATACTGCTCTATGATCTTTATGATACCGTTTTAAGAATATGAGAACTTGCAAGTATATTATCACAAAAGTATTGTCCATAATATGTCCAGGTAACTTGGTGAGTACAGAATCAGAATCTCATATTGGGGTCTAAAAATTTTCAAACCTAAAGGCCAAACTCTTCCACCTATTCGTAAAGGCTATTTTTTACGTGGTAGAGCCATGCTGCAGTTATATTAGTAGTATAGTTGTAGCACGAAAGGTTTGGTTCGACTGGGTAAAGACCACGCTCTCACAGAATACCAACATAAAATAGAGTGTAGAAAAGCAGAGACCTTTTTTTACTGGAAACTAGGCATTCCATCTTAGTCATCATGGGTTACAACGCATCTGCATTTTTATTTATAATTGAGGATGGATGTAGATGTCTATGGGCCGCAGCAACCACTAACCATCAGGTGGACTGTGTGCTTGTTTGTCACCTCTTCCTTAATAAAACATAACTAAGAACACTCTCAATAAGACACATTTTAAATTTCGACTTGGTAACTATTATGTGGTAAATCGTATAGGAGTTAATGTCAGCAAGTGTCTTTACGTTTCTTTCACAAGGAAAAGAGAACCTACAAAATTCAACTACCAAATAAATCACCTTAATATAACTAAGAAAGAATTAGTGAAGGATCTGGGGATATTACTGGATTGCAAGTTAAGCTTCTCAGAACATATTGAAACAATTACGCACTCGGCCTACAAAAGCCTTGGCTTCATCCTACGCGTAAGCAGACCTTTTACTGATATTAACTGTATTAAATTACTTTATTTTTCATATGTTAGAAGCGTCCTTGAATATTGTAGTACTGTATGGAACCCGTATTACACTGTTCATATAAATAACCTAGAACAAATTCAGCACAAATTCATGAGACATTTAAAGTATAGAAATTTTATTTACACTAATAACTATGAAGAGTCTTGTAAATATTTCAATATAATAAGCCTTGAGGATAGACGTACTCTAATGGACATGGCATTTTTGCATGGTTTATGTAATGGAAGTATTGACTGTGTAACTTTAGCTGATAGAGTTCTCTGCTTTTGTACTCCGAAACGTAGAACGAGACATACACCTTTGTTTGCGGTTGTTAAGACAAAGACAAACTATGCACAAAACTCTCTGGTGAATCGTTTACAAACAGTTTATAATAAAAGATTCCACTCAGTTGATATTTTCCATTTCAGTAAGGATAGGTTTAAAAAGGATGTCTTGAAACTTCTGATGCAGTGAGGTTAGGTAACTCATTAACTCATACACACACACACACACACACACACACATACACACACACACACACACACACACACACACACACACACACACACATACACACACACACACACACACACACACACACACACACACACACACACACACACACACACACACACACACGCCCGCATGCGAGGGAGGAGCATACGAGCATTATTTATGTTGAAATTTTTTTGATTTTTCTTGTAATGTTTTCTAGATGTTTAAAAATATATATTTTTAGTCCCAACTACTTTGTCTTCAACATGTCCGTTATAAATTGAAAATACTATTTAAATAATGTAAATCCGTTTTTGGCTATAATTTAAGATCATAAGATGTACGTACGATGTAACAAAGAGCTGTGGATTTTGTTTGAAATAAAATAAAATAAAAAATAAAAAAAAAACTCAAAATCAGGTCCGTTCAGGAGCTATGATGCCACTAACAGATACACAGATCCAAACTTAAAACTTCTCGGGGGTTAAAAATGATTTTGCATGACTTAAAATAAGATAAGAATCTCTATTTTAAGTTTGTACTGGAACGAATTTCTTAGCAAAACTTTTAGCTTCGGTCAAAACTGACATTCCATCGGACACTAGTTATCAGGTTACACCTCATGCAACACGCAAATAAAGTTTGCAATTTGAGATGTACATATTTTACTTGCAATTGCTATTTATAGATAGGATAGGATTAACGGTGGTAGAGCCGTTTTTGCTGTTGCACATATGGGCCGGCTCGAGCCGAGTTAGTACCACGACCTCACAGAATACCGGCGTGAAGTGGAAGCTCTGCTTCCGCGTTTCGTCTGGTGAGTGCAGGTGACCGGAGGCCAAATTCCCCCCCCCCCCCCCCCATCAACATGGTAGCGGAATTACGTCAAAAACTACCCCAGGAGGGTACCAGTACCTCTGGAGAATCCCTCGCTGAGCATCCACGACCATGCTATTCTACTCCTGAGCGTAGGTGCTCAGGCTGCCCCGCGTATTCTGGGGGGGGGGGCAAAATTCCGCTCAACACAATAACTGCTCGGGGCAAACTGAGCAACAAGACCAAGGCGACCCCTGCCACGCTATCCGTGAATTTCTGCAACATTAGGGGACTTCACTCGAACCTAAACGCCGTCCACTACCATCTTGAGACGGCGAAGCCGGCCTTGCTCTTTCTGACCGAGACGCAGGTGTCCTCTCCGGCTGATACTTCGTATCTCTCCTACCCGGGTACAAATTGGAGCACTCCTTTGTGCCTCGGGCTGGAGTTTGCGTGTATGTTAGAGAGGACATCTGTTCTCGACGCCTCGGCAGTCTTGAAGGTTCGGACCTGTCCATCCTTTGGCTACGCGTAGACAGCGACGACCATCCGCGCGTCTACGGGTGCCTCTATAGGTCCCATAGCGGTAATGCCGAAACAGACCGACTCATTGATCACGTCCAAATGGCTACAGATTCCTTGCTACAA